TTATTATTCAGTCTTAAAACTAATTGCTGCATTTCTTATTACTACTCATTTGTTTGAGTCACAATCTTTTCTTTAAAACATGCTGTCACATATTGTGGCTACACTGCATTAAAACAATGGAAAAAGAAAAACTGGTACAGAATAAGCGGTAGAAAGGAAATTATTTTTTTAAACTTCAGCATCTCTTAAGTACCTTGGAAATGCCAAGGCTTGATTAATTCAACAAATAAATTTGATAAATATCTTAAAACTTTGTGATAAGACATTAAGAGGGAAGGTATGGCAGATAAGAATACCTTTGGGGTTACTTTCAAACTATACAAGTCCCATATAACCCACCATAACCCCTCAAAATCAGGGGGCAATTCCTGTTAAGAGTCTTTGCTACAAGACTGATATTGATTGATCACATTTCCCAGATGTGTTTAGAAAGCTGAGAAACATTGGTAAGCTGAGCAATAAAATTAAAGATGAATCTCTTGAACTATATTCATTTGTTAAAGACTTCTTTACCATCTGCAGATGCCAGACTGGTTCATATCGGCTTGAACAAGTATTCCACCCTTCACACTTTTTCAAAGTAGTCTTTTCAAAGGCAAGAAATTCGCTGTGGTTTCACATATGCATAGAGAACATCTGTGAGTCAACAATACTAGCACAGTGTTAATGCAAAGACTGCGGGGACCACAACTTGCTGGTTAACTAGTTATAGGTATTTAAAAAGACCAGAACCCCAACACTTTTATCTAGTTTCATGAACCACCTATCCAAGAGGTCCAAACTTAACCCATGTAATCATTCTGTATTCTTTAAGTGGAGGGAGAATCAAGAGTTTGTTTTCAATTAGAAAAAATACGCAAATACTGGGCACTTCCACTGAATCTTTTATTCACAACCTTTTAAAACAGAAGTGATTTTCTACCATTGTGTCTTCCTGGCTCCATCAAACACTTAGTAAAAGATCTGACTACTGACACAGTGTTTTTTTTTTTTCCTGTAAAGCCATTCAAGAACTAAAGAAATATTTCACATCTCAAATTATTTCTGTGGCAACCATGGTAACTATTAGCATCTATACCTAAAGAAGGGCTAACTGCTTCCTGACCTAGCCATGTTTACCTTATGTTCTTCTGTGCTCAAGTTAGGCTTTATTTTTCTACTTTCAAAACAGAATATCTCAGTAATGAACACAACTGTGCTCTGCTTTTAAAGGCCATAAACACACGATTCTTAAATGCATAATCCATAGAAATATGAAATAACTAGTTACATACACAGTCCTAAGTAAAATATCAGGTTTAAAATTTGAAGTACAAAGACCATTAAAAACAGTCTATTTGCCAAATCCACTGAGAAACTAGAAGCAATTTAACAGCTGTCTAAATAACCACAAAATATTAAAAACACTTCTGGCTCAATATAAATGACATCTGAAGTGAAACGCTGCCTCCTCCAACAGACATCTCATTTGTTTGCCTAGAACCGTTTATACTTCATTTAAGCCAGCTGGTGTCTCCGTTTGCAGGCATGCATCAATGTCTACTGAACAATCTAAGTTCCTGTAAACCCTTTCCCATTCACAAGCTGCAATTTCCATTTTTAATGGCAAGTTTCCAGCAAATACAATGAGTTCTTACAAAAGAATTTAACTCTTCATCCAACTCAACTGCTAAGGCAGACTAGAGCAATGGTAACAAGACCTAAACAATATGTATAAAAGTGCCTAGAAAACTCCCAAAGTGTTGACATCCACAGGAGGATCTCTTCACCAAACCTCTCATTCAGTACACAATTATGAAAAATAATGTGTTTGATTTGACTGACAGTGTCTCGTTATATGATATTTCAGTTTTATCAAAATAATTTTGTTCTTGGGAATGTTATGACAATCTTTGGCTAAGAGATGGTAATATTCTGAGATGTTTCAAAACCCACTGGAGAAGTATACAGAACACTCTGAATCTGTTTTCAACTAACTTACCAGGATGAATACTGATGCAGCTACTAGTAGAGGTATTCATTTTCACCAACCAGTCTACCCGCCCTCCCCCATTCACTTTTCCTTTTTCATATCCTGGGCGTTATAAACCTTACTGCTAACAACCTAGAGCAGGGGTGGACACACTTTTTCTGTAAAGGATCAGACAGTAAATACTTGAGCTTTGGGAAAATACAGTCTCTGTCACAAACACTAGCTTTGCAGTTGTAGCCTGCAATGGACCATACTTTAAGGGGGGAAAAAAAAAAGAATGAGCATGGCTGTGTTCCAATAAAACTTTTTTTTTTTTTTTGCCAGCCCTTTCCTTTTTCCTGGCTTTAAGTTGCAACAGTTTAAAAAATACAGATTCAAATTATTTCAAGTCAAACTTTGGAATCACCTCCCTGGGATGACTAAAATAAACTAGGGGTTCAGTCCAAGTTCCTGAAACTAGTAAAGCCACAACGTGATTTCAGCTACAGGTCAAAACACACTATGTAAGTATCCAGAAAAGAACGATGATAAAACAATAAATTATATGCATGCTCTGAAAAAAATTCACTTCAATACTCTAGTTCTAAATTGTTTAAATTATACTTGAACTCACAGAAATGAAAGGAAAACAAAGTTTCCACAGAGTCCCAGTCAATCTCAACTTTGTAAGTCACCTTCCATTTCCAACCCTAGCTACTTATTTCAGCCAAAGATACACAGATATTCACTCTTGTAAAGTTTGAGAATTACCACTCTTAAAACAAAAATCTAAAAATTAAGTGCTTGGAAAAATTATTTCCAAGATTGGGGACAAGAAAACTGAAAAGGTCTTTGATACCTGCACAACACTGCAGCTCCCATTATGACAACATGACTACAAAACCACACAGGAGCCTGCCCAAGCTGGCCTTCTAAAAACAAAGCCAAATTAAATTACATGTTGGATATTATTCAAAATTACAGTAAAAAAGATAAATTTCAGCAATTCAAAATTTAAGCAATTTCAATTGCTTTCCAACTTTTTCTGTTAATATTCAAATCAGCTGAAAAAACTAAATTATCTTTTAGCAGACTCAAAATTATTAATTAGGGTGTGATTTTAAGAGTTCAGGATATTATCAACTTCCACAGATGTCAAAAACACCCTGAAGAAGAGAAGACAGCAATATTTTGGAAAACGTGAATTTGAAACATCATGATTAAACAATTTCAGTAACTCCAGTCATTTTACTAAATTTTTGTCCATTCAACTGAAATTTAAGACAGTGTGGAGCCAACTGCATTAACCAATGCTACAAATGCATCAATGAAATGACAAATTTGTAAAGGATCACAATTCTTTCTGAATAAGTTCCCTTTAAAGTGAAGACAAGTATTATAGCTCCTGGCTGATTTACCATATATGCTCAAGACTATTGCAGCATTGAGATATACTTTAACTCCCAAACCTAACGCTGTATTAATTCACCAGCTCCGCTGAAATTTATGGCTAGTTAGCCAGGGCTATTTTTAAGTGGCCTTATTTGTTGTTAAGTACAGATTCCTAGGTGTCATTTCAATTTTCAAATGATACCATTTGACTGAAAAGACAAACTCTAAAAATAATGTTGATCACCAGCACATTCTTAACACTGATTGTTTCTTTTTTAATGCAAAGCCTAACAGCAAATCAATGAATGCCTTTACATACAAGGAATTTTAGGTATAGTTACAAAATAAAATTATCTGAGAATTCCTCTGAAAACCCGCTACAACTCTAAAATAGTATACCCTTAAGTGAGGTCAAATACTTAGCAGAAATGGTAGCCTAGGCATTTGAGGGTGTCCCTAAAAATTTGAGGAAGGATATTTAAAAACCCGACTTGAACAAAACAACTCCAAATGGAAGTTACCAAATACAGAAATATATATTGCTCACAGTTTTTTAAAAGTTAATAACAAAACACTTAAACTATGAAAAGGCTTTGTCTGCAGATGGTATTATTACCAAAGGCTCAAATATGAAACCTTTACATGCTATACACACAAAAGAGATTTACACTACCAGTCCACAAAAGCCTATCCTAGGACCGTGCCAGGGGCACACAAGGATTTTCAAAGTACAGAAAAAACTGGGCATACATATGCAGTACAAAGCAGCCAAAAGGCATTTGCCCATAGTCACTTTCAGGAAATGTTTCAAGATGAAAAGCAAAGACAGTCTTAAGTCCCTTAGAATCTTGGGTTGATTTCTTTATTATTCTTAAGGCCTAGGCTGTTCTCCCCCAACATACTCTGTTGAGGAGAAATAGAGCACCTCCAACTAAAAGCAGCTACTCAGGCCCAATTTTCAATACAATTCGCTTTTCATTAAAAGTTCAAGTTTCTCAGGGTCCAGACGTATAGGACGATCATATTACAGTACTCGGGAAGAGCATTTTCTTTGTTGTTGACCCTGCTAGGGAAACAGGTCTTGACTCAGCCAAAGTGGCGTTCTTGTGGGTGATTAATGACAGGCCTAGATCTCGCCCCAGTGACATCCACCCCACCCCCCACCCCCTCTGTACTAAAATCAGCCATGTCTGAACTGGAGGAGGGGCTGCCGCCTCGCCTCAAACCACCCAGTCCCACAGTTAATAGCTACAACCAATCGATTCAGGGAGACAGACATCGAGATTCGGGTGAAATGTTACCCTTCTCTCGCCTAAATTTATGAATAATATCACCCTCTCTGATCATTTCCGCTGGGGCTCTCCAGACTACGGAAACACTCAATTCCAGTCATTCAGCCCAAAGAAAAGGATCTTCCTCTTCCCCACAATACCCGGCAAGACACAGCCCCGACCCTCCCCACCTCCCGACTCCCCCACCCCCTTGACATCAGGCCATTTCTATTGTGTCGCCGAGGCTGGAGGACCTAAAAGAAATGTGGTCCCTCTACTACTTTGCTCAAGAGGACCAGTCCGGCACCCCACCCCTGGGGCCGCGTTCCGCGTCCCGGGACCCCCGTTCTCTAGCCCACCCCGGCGGCTGCGGGGCCGAGTCCCACCTGTGGTGAGGCGGGAGGAGACGTCGCCAAAGGGGGACGGCTCCATTCGGAGATACTTCTGCGGCGAGGCGGCGGCAGCCGAGAAGGAGGCGGCGGTGGCGGCGGCCGCCGACGACGGAGAGGCAGCAGCCGAGGTGGGCGCCGACAATGGCGCACATCGCCTCCGCTTCGGGGACGCCGGGCTCAGCAGCGGGTCGAAATCCAGAGTCCTTTTCAGAGTGGCTCCGCACGCCATGGCCGGGGCAGCCGAGGACCGGGCTCGGGTGGGGTCGGGGAAGGGTGACGGGAGGGGAAGGTGAGGGAAGTGGGGGAGAGCGGGGACTCGAGGAGAGCCTAACCGACGGGCTCAAGAGCAGAAAGGCGGGTGGTGGAGCGCCGGTGAGGAGATGAGAGCCGCCGCTGCCTCCGCGGCAGGGGCAGTGGCCCGGCCGGCCCGGGCGAGAGCGGGAGGGGCGGCGGCGGCCGCTCACGACAGCCGCGTCGGGGGGGGCTCTTCCGCCTCCTCAGGCACAGCTCCCCCGGGAGAGGCTCCGGCCGCCCCCGCCGTCCGTTCGAGCTTTGCGTCGCGCCTGAGGCGCTCCTGCGCTGAGACCGGTTCCCTTCGGAAGTCGATACCAGCCCCGTGAGATATGAGGCTGGAACGCGGCTACTAATACGCCCGAGTAAGGTCAGGAGCTTGAGAGTGGCGGTCGATGTGGAGAGATTGCGAGGTGGCGGCGACAGCAGGAGCTCAAGCGGTCACGTCCAGCCGCTTCCCCCTCCACTGTACGACTATTCCACCCGCCGCCGGCCCCAATATGGCGTCAATAACAACGCCGCCGATTCAAATTCTGCGGCCTCAGGGCGCGTGCGCACAGGGGTGGGCACGCCCCCCCGTAGGCGCGTTCTGGGAGTTGTAGTTTCTCACTGTGAAAGGGAATCGGCGTGAAAAGCGATTAAGGAAGAGTCACGAAAACTACGACTCCCGTCATTCAAGGCGCGCCATTTCGAGTTCCGGGTTGGAATTTAAATCCCCTACACAGTTTGAGTGTAAAAGGAACTAAGCAAGAGAAAAAAGAAGAGGCTGTGAGTGGGAGAGAGGAAAGCCAGGCGATGCAGAAAACAGGCTTAAAAGACCTTTAAAATTCAGGACATAGTTGTCCTGATACCATTCCCACAGTGATTTAACAAATGGGAAATAGAAAACTTAGCCAACCGAACAGTCCAAGTCAGATTAATTTCGGTAGTAAGAGTGCTAAAAACAAAACCTGTCATAATGAGAGGCTAGGAAATAAAATTATGGAACCTATTTAGGACTGCAAGGGAGAACAACAGTATCAGATTACAGGATCCTTGAATGAACTGGATGCTTTGCCCTTCCCAGGTAGCTTCTTGCATTCATTTATTAAATTCTGCAAAACCAGCTTTGTCCTGCAAATGAGTAGATTTGAAAGATGTACAGAACAAATTGTTTCGCTTTGGATAAAAAGCCAGTGATAGCAGAAATTGTCTTATCTGTTGAATATTGTAGTATAGTATATCTTGTGAACTGTAAAAATTAAATAAAAAACCGTTAATGAAATGCCTAGGAGAGTAGATAATGAACCCATTTTATAAGCAAATTTTTTTTGTAAAAGTTGTACTGTTATTCAGGTACCTAAAATAAAAATCAAATACAGCATTAATAATGTAAAAAATTGTCACCAATCTTTCGCCCACGGAAACTATCATCAGTCCAATACAAAACTAGTTTCTGTATGAATGCCATATTATCAAATGATTATGGATATCACATACAGGCTTCCAGTGCTTATTTATTCCTGTCATTTATTCAGTAACTAAAAGATCTTTTATACCATTTTGTCTATTATTCCTATCATTTGACAATTTAATATATTCCTGTTTTATTGAATTGTTTAACACCTAAAGGTCAGCAGTCCTAATCATACTGTGTCAATGACTAAGCTACATTAATTTCATGTTAAGATATATTGTTTGGGAAATAGTTTTTGAAAATGATCAGCATTTAATGAAACGACAGCTTATCTCTGACACCTAATAGGTAAATTTTTGCTGAATTCTTAACACCATGAAACATAAAGTTTATAATTTCAAATCATATCATTTCAAATTAACAGAATATATATATTTTATGTAAATGAGTAGGAAAAGAGATTAAGCTGTGGAAAGCAAATAACAAAGCATTTATATTTCTGATAAATACTTTATGAAATTAAGATTTTACCTTGTGTTATAGAACTTACATTGAAAAGGGACTGTTAGGAATTGAATTTTGTCTTTTCAAAATTCATATGTTCTCATCCCAGGTATCTCCCAATGTGTCCATATTTGGAAAGAGGGTAATTTCAGACATAAATAGTTAAGATGAGGCCATACTGGAGTAGGGCGGGCCCCTAATATAACTGGCACCCTAATAAAAAGGGGAAATTTGGAAACAGGCAGAACACCATGTGAACCTGAAGATGCGTCTACGAACCAAAGAAAGCCAAAGATTGCCAGCAAATTACCAGAAGCTAGGAGAGAAGCATGGAACAGATTTTTTCTCACAGTCCACAGAAGGAACCAATACTGCAGATTCCTTGGTCTCAAGAGTTCTAGCCTCCTGAACTGAGACAATACTTTTCTGCTGTTCAAGCTGTCTGGTCTATGGTACTTGGCAACAGCAGCCCTAGGAAACCTATAATACAGCGGGTTGTGGTTATCATTTGTGTTACCTTGCACTGCCTGGAAAATGAGGAGTTTAATGTAAAGGTGGTAGGGGATATCTGGTAAACTTGACATTGTAGTCCCAATAGCTGCCCATGCAATCACCACTGCACAGCATATCTGCAAAGGGCTCTCTGTTATTATTAAACAGTGGCAGGGCTGGGGCAGCCTCCTCTACTACCAATGACTAAGGAGCCTGTTCAGAAGCTAAGAGAAACAAGGGAACACTTCCCTATTCACTTCTGTGTCTTTGCTCAGGCTCTCCGCTCCACACATTTTGCCTGACAACTTAGGCTTTAAGACTCAACCCAGGCATTAACTCCTATAGTAAGTACCCTCCCCACCCCTGCCGCTCCCAACACTTCAAGCCTGTCTTAGTTTTATAGCTTCACAGAGAAGACGGATACCGATCCTCATATCTTCATCATTACTCTCACCACATTGCAATATAATTCTCTGTTCATGAAACTGCTTCTCCCACCACTGTGTTAGTTCCTTGCCAAGGGTATAGTAACTTGCACACTTCAATGGATACCTATCGAATGTTTCTTCAATAAACATTTTTTAATCACCCTATTCTCCCAGTAGCCTACATTATCCTTGTCTCTTAAGATAGATGTCCACTAAAATGTAGCAACCCCTTCAGGGTAGAAAAAAGCGGTTGAAGAAAAAAAAAAAAAACCTTTAAAAAATTTCTTAGGCTAAAATTCAAAATAAAAACAATACTTGAAAACCCTTAAGTCTTAACTTGGTTTAGAAGTAAATATGTATTTTGTTGATCAAGAGGAAAAGAAAACTATATTTAACACATTAATAAGTTGAATCAGGTCACATGAATCTAAATATATAGTACAGCTAATGGCTCCAGCGACCTACACAGACCAAAATTGCTCTTGTTGTGACTAAAAGGCCTATAACAAATCTCAAAGGCTTGAAATAATTAGAATAGTTTTGCAACAGTCTAGAAAGTATTTCCTGATTTCCACAATCTCAGAAGCCTCTGAAGAAAAACTGTTTTACCAAGATGCTGGTCTCTGCTTGGTATTGGATTTTTCTAGCACCTCCCAAAATATTCCCCAGGATTCTGATGAGTCATTCTTTGACTAAAGCCAGTAAATGTAGACATAGCTGGATGACATAAGATATCATCATCCTGAGCCTGAAGATCTTTTTTATACCATAAATCATTTTCAAACAATTTTTCTGTTGTCAAATAAAGATAAATGCAAATATGTAAGGTGTGGAGAGGTGTTTGCTGACTTTGCATGCTGAGTTTGAGTAATCGTAGGCTCAGCTTTAGGAATAGCAGTTCTAATTCAGGAGTCACTTCAAATCTATATTCAGAACAAGCATTGCCTACGGCAAAAAAAATTGTTTAATTATTGTGTAAATGAGTGCAGTAGGGAAGAACAGACATTGTAATTCCTTCTACATAAGGTTTTGCAGGCTGGCCGGAACCTCTTCTAAGAACCATATTTGTAATACATATTAGAATACATATTTTCCATTGTACATATGGCTAATATTACTTTGGTTTCCTTACTTTGGATGTGGCCATTATTTTGAGTTGATTGGATAGTCCTAGAGTAATCAAAACCATATATCTGTAAGCGATTTCAAGAGGTCACCTAGACTAGTCCCCAGCTCCAGGGCATGATTAACTGTAAAATCCTCGAGCCAAATCAGTATCTATTTCACTCTTCCTAGAAATTTTCAGGATCCACATCCAAAATCTTGCGGTTAAAATGCAACTGCAAATTCTCTTATATCTAACTTTAACCTCTTCTCCATCGGAGGCTGATTTCTAATTGTATAGTGCTCTATAAAGAACAACACACTCCAGGAAATAAGCCATGATTCACTTATCCTGAGGGACTTTCAAAGAAACCACAGCATAGTCTCTGAGCAGTCAAAATAAGTTTTTGTGAAGTCCTTATTTTAAAATGTGCATGCTTTTCTCAAGTATGTAGTACCATCAAGTACCTGTATCCTTACTCAGAAACCATTTACTCTTACTTTATAGAAAACACAATCATGTTTGGGGATCTTATTTCCCAGTCCAGACCAATCAAGTAGGAGAGGGAAAAGGAAATTGAAGATGCCATACAGCAACTACAACAAGCAATGCAATCATTGTATAGCAAAGAAAGGGACTGTACAAAATTAACTGCAAAATTAGGAAAGCACAACAGCCTTGAGCTACTGAAATATCAGGACAATCAGTCCAACTGCACCTCAGGCATCACTGTATTACTACAGCACCATATAATTAGGGTAGGGATGCCAGATTTAACATAAAAATATAAGATGCCCAGTTAAATTTGAATTTAAGATAAACAAATCATTCATTGTTTATGATTTGTTAGTACAAGTACGTCCCAAATTTCACCTGTTTCTATCTGAAATCCACATTTATTGGGTATTCTGTATTTTATCTGGCAATCCTAAATAAGATGGTGACCCCAAGTCATCAGTAAAGCACAAACTGTGTTTAATATGCACTTTGAAAACTGTGTAACTAGTAGGAAATTGGAAAATATTCCATTGATAGTATTTAAGAAATTCAAAATTTTCAGTTGTCTGGAAAGATACTTTAAGCCATGCATATTCTATTCATCACAGAGCACCAGGCATAAAATAAACCTTCAATAAACATTGGATGAGGGGCACCTGGGTGGCTCAGTTGGTTAAACGTCCGACTCTTGATTTCAGCTCAGGTCATGATCTCAGGGTCCTAGGCTCCATGCTCAATGCAGAGTCTGCTTGTCCCTCTCCGTCCCCCTGCTTGCTCTCTCAAATAAATAAATAAAATCTTTAAAAAGCAAAACAAAACAAAAAACATTGAATGAACAGTGAAAAGCTTAACACACCATCTTCCCAATGGTGAGGCATCTCACGCCCCTGAAGTTTGTCCCTAGCTGTTGTCAGTTCTGTTGTCCTGTCTGAGTCCAAGCCTGATTCAGAGTTGGTGTCGCTGTCCACGTCCGACTCCCGTTCCCTCTTGTGCCTGTCATCCTGGGCTTCCATGATGCTGCCCTGAACCTTTCCTGATGAGGCTTTTCAAGAGAATGAGATAGTACCTATACTTCCCCAACATTGGGGGCTTCCTCTGCAAGCCCATTGTTATAAGGGTCAGTCAGGTGTGTGGTGTGAAGGAAATGAAGAAATAGGCCCAACTCCTCCCCTGGGAGCAGTTTTTCCAACTCCATCCGCTGGTAACAAGCATCAACCTGGGAGCAATTATTGGTTACTTGCAGCCCTAAGGGCCTGTGTTAAGGCTAGAGCTTCACTGGGTGTCCAAGAAACTGCTAGATTTCATCTGGACCTTGTGTCCCACAGTTATTCTTTGTGGTCTGATTAGTCCAAGAAATTTTTCCCATCTCAAAGGACAGAGTCTGTACTCTTGACAGGGTTTACCTCTAAGCAGTGGGACATGGAGTGTGTCTATAGGAACAAGATGAACAGGACATGCTCCCACCCTCAAAGAAGCTTAACTTTCTACATTATATGATTGTCTGAAGATTCTTTTGCAAAAATCCCATTTATCACAGTAATTTGAAATATAAAATTTTCTGGAAAAAAAGTGTTATCTTAATTACCATTGTCTGAAAACTAAAAGCCAGTGCATCCCCAAACAGTATCTAACACGTAGTAAACCCTTAGGAAGTGATGGCTACCATTATCATGCTAAGGCAAACTCTAAAGTCTCTTTAAGCCTGAAGTAGTGGAAGAGTTTCCAGAACCTTCTTGCCCAGAGACCAATCACAACCGCTGGGGTCCAGTTTCTGAGCCAAACTCTCTTTTCCCTTCTGTACCCCCTTGCTAAGAGGGAAGTCAGACAAGATCTAGGTTCCAAATTAGTGTAGTTGGGTTACAGGGCGTGCCTCACTTTAATTCCATTTATATGGGAGAGCTAGAGCCTAAGTAGGTAATATTTGGGAGGAATAGAAATATTATTTACAGGAACCCCACCATGGCCCAGGTGCTTATCCTAATAAAAACCTAAGGTAGTAGTGTTAATCTCATTTTACTGTTGAACCTGTGGCTCATGCCTGAGGTCACACAGTCTTAAATGGGTCAGGGTTGGGACTATTACCTGAATTTATAAGATCCCAAAGGTGTGTTCTTGCACTCCGCACCGTTGACTTGGGTAGCGAAGAAACCTGGAAAGAAAGAGATGGATTAATTTAAATTTTACAAAGCATCATAATGGAGTAAGTAACAAGTGGTCAATTAAAAAAAAGAAGTTTTTTAAGGACAGTGTCAGCATATGTTCCAGAAGACATCAAAGAATATATCCTATGACTATTTCACTGTGTTTTGTTTCCCCGTGGAACTTGATACTTGAGTACCAAGCTTTAAGAGATGATTGTTTCAGTATCACATTTCTGTTCTAAGGCAATTGTGAGTTCCCAGGGAGTATTATGGAATCACATGTGGCCCACATGACTTATTTTCCTTTCCTAAAAAGGTCTTTCATGTCTCCAAAACAGCTAGCTACAGATCACTAAAAATCATTCCTAAATCACATTAATGACATCTTTTACTTTATTTGCTAACAAGCAGCTAAGTAGAAGTTCAGGTTCCTTTTATTCCCTTTGGTTGCTTGCTATTCAAAATGTGGCCCACAAACCAGAAGCACTGGCACCACCTGGGAGCACACCTGGGAGCACGTGGATGCACACCTGGAGCGCCTGCATCAAAATCTGCATTTTAACAGGATCCCCCAGGTGATTCCTATGTACATTTAATTTGAGAAGCTCTGCTCCCGTTAGCCTCTCCCTGGCAGATGTGCTAATAATAGCATGTCATGGTCCTCAGGTGTGTGCCAGGCCCTCTGTGAGGTCACAGCAATACTAAGATAACTAAGACATGGCCTCTGAGATAGAGAGAAAGTGGAGTAAAAGAAAGAGTGCTAGGCAATCTAAAAATGCCCACCTGGATCAATGAGAATTTCCGTATCCAAATGTCTTTCTGCTCTGTGAAAGAGTGGTGTTCAGAATGGCTTTCAATGGAGAGAACACACCCGAGTGTTGTGTGTGGAAAGTAGAAAGAAGAAAATGAGAGATGCATACATCTCCCATGCTGCTAAACTGTTCCTTCTTTCCCTAGTAATTATCCCCCCACTGAACTCCAACAGAGGTGTAAGACAGCTAAGCCTCTCAGGATCCACTTACTTGACAAATGTTTATTGAATGATTGCTATACATCCCTCTCTGTGGTAAGTGCTCCAGTTACAGATGAGAACTACATGGTCCCAGCCCTCATGGAGTTCATACGTGTGTGTGAACAATGACTACCCAAGTCTGTATGAACAGAAAGGCTGCGTCTTGCAGTTTGAGAGGAAAGGATTAATTCTGCCCCAGGTTTCTCTCCTCTGTATGCTTTGTAACATTATGTTCACTGCCTGGGTGTTCTTCTTAAGAATTTCTCCAGCACCTGAGGTGCGAGGTGTATGAATGGGAGACGGCTCTTTTTCAAAAGTGGAAATGGTCTTGATAAAAAAAAAACTGAAGCATTATCTGTTACCCAACAGTATTTCTCCTAAAATTATGCAACTCATCATTCCAGCACTGAGCTACCCACACTGTGGTCTGCGGATTTGCTCCAAGCCACAACCCGCTAAGTGTAGAAATCAACAAAGAGGGTTTAGAAACTTTTCTGGCAATTTGACATCATCACAACTTGCAAGGGCATCACCACAACTTGCAAGGGCATCACCAGAGGACCAGTCTCGTTGACAAAGTGCACAACTGAATGCTTGTGTCCCTCCAAATTCATATGTAATGAATTTTGTATGGCCCCAATGGGATGGTATTGGGAGGTGGGGGCCTTTGGGAGGTGATTAGTTCCCAAGGCTGGAGGCCCCATGAATGGGATTAGTGCTCTTATAGAAGAGACCTCAGAGAGCACCCTTGTCCCTTGCACCATGTGAGGACACAGAGTGAAGGTGCTCTCTGTGAAACACAAGTGAGCCCTCTTGGACTTCCCAGACTCTGGAACTGTAAGAAATAAATATTTGTTGTTTTTAAGCCACCCAGCGTATGGTGTTTTGTGATAGCATCCTAAATAAACCAAGACACAGGGTACAGCTCGGGTGTTGAACTGAATGGATGAGTCACATGTGACACAAGATTCGTGCTAGCCATCCCCAGTAGAACCACATGTGATATTTTAAGGTTAATTTGTCAATTCTATCCCCAAAATGTATAAAATCCGAGTTCATCACGTTCATTTATCAAAGATAATTTAACTTGAAAGGATCAATTTTGGAGCTGATGACTGATGGCGGATTGAGAATGAATGTTGAATATACAACATCACATGCTTCATTTTTGATAAAAGTGAAAAATAAGTACCCGGAACTTGCAGAAATTGCTTTAAATTCCTTCTCTCTCTCATCCACCTACCTCGAGGAATGCTATTAAAACAAACGTGGAAACTGTTTAGACATACATGATCCTCTCTTCACAGCTGTCACCTATCTGACCTATATTACGTCAACTAATGAGCAAAAAGCAAGCTCACTTAGAACATGAAATACTTCACTAATAAAGTGTTTGTTTCAAGTATGCAAATCAGTATTTAATATGTAGAGTTGCTATTTTTTGATGACCTCGTTTTGTCAGTGGAATGACAAAACAGTACCGAAATACAACTATTCATCGCCTGTATTCAGGCTTTCAGTGACCAATGCACACGTTACACATTTTTCCCGTTTTTCTCTCTGATTGTCTTTATTGAAATATGTCTACTGAACCTAATAAAAAATGTGGGCTTATATTTTATTTACTTTTTTATTCTTTTTTCTAGCAATACACTTGTTCTGTTTACAAAATACTGGTCCATGTGTCTTGAGAGGGAAAAACCTGGTCTTTCACCTCAGCTTAAGAAAAACTTCTCCATGGTAGCCCGTGAATGACTACTACTGTCAGACTCAGCTGGTGAAAAAGAAAGAACACTATTAGCTAATACGTGTATGGTGTGGACTACCTTCCAGGCATGTTCTGTGAGCTTTACATGTATTAACTCATGTGCTCTTACCTTATGAATTAGGTGCTATCGTATCACCATATTACTGATGAGAAAACTGAGCCACGGAGAGGTTGAGTCCCTTGCTCAAGGTCAGCTCTAAAGTGGCAGAACTCAGTTCCAGAGTCCATGCTCTTATCTGGGGAACATAAGTCAAGCACTGTCATCATAGTTCTCCACCAAATAACTATGGGCTTACGTGGGCCATTGAACCTGTGTGGGAAAAGAAAAAGAAGAATTAGAAAAGATACCAAAAGCTACAATGCAGAGTTCTTCCCATGGGCCAGGCATTGAGCTAAGGGCTTTATGTGCACGAGCTCTGTGTCTCCTAAGCATGGGGCGTTACAGGAAATGATTTCAGGTAGCAGGGGAGGGGGCTTAGATGCATGGGCCAGGCAAATTGCATCACAGAATGAGAAAGCTATTTCTCCTCTAAGTCTCTCTGACTAATCACACTGCTAGAGTCTCTTCGGCGCAGGTCTTGAATGACATGGACTTATTTCCTTTTGTTAAAAAAGGAGAGCAGGCCTTGGGATTAATGCTGTCTCTGGCAACAAAGTTTTTTTTTTTTATTGTACCTTTGATTTAGGGCTCATTGTTTTACATTTATAATAAGGATATATAATTTTTTTAAAGATGTGTGAAAAGTGGGCTATGGAAAAAAATTTAAAGATAATAATATAGGTCTTACATGGAGTTGACAAAAACTGGGACCCATGAATATTGGAAAATACTTCATTATCTTTCAACAACCTGGGAAGGTAAGTACTTTTGTTCTCTATTTATAGGTAGGAGATTTAAAGTTTAGAAAAGTTCGGTAACCTTCCCGAGGCCACTCTGTAGGAAGCCGAGGAGCTGGGATCCAATGCTAGAAGTGCCTGCCTCCAAAATTTGCACCCTTGCCCATTGTACACCCCGTCTCCCCCAGGAACACCCATGCGTATCTCCTGCCAGGACTGGCACTCCAGCACTCTCTTTTTTTTTTTTTTTTTTAAAGATTTTTATTTATTTATTTGAGAGAGAGAGAATGAGAGATAGAGAGCACGAGAGGGGAGAGGGTCAGAGGGAGAAGCAGACTCCCCGCTGAGCAGGGAGCCCGATGCGGGACTCGATCCCGGGACTCCAGGATCATGACCTGAGCCGAAGGCAGTCGCTTAACCAACTGAGCCACCCAGGCGCCCCACTCCAGCACTCTCTGATTGTATTTCAGGATCTCAGATGGCAGTTCTCAAAGTGCAATCCTCCCCTAGGTGTTCTCATCATAATACTGAGCTGTTTATCTCTTTCACTCTTGTTTGCTCATGAGTGTGCAGGGGGGTTTTCCAGAGACCACGTGATGTGGAAGCTGAATACAGACACAGGTGCGAGGTCCCAGCTGCCTTCTATTAAGCCAGACATTAAAAAGATTTACTAAGATGTAAACAATACCATTCTTCTCATTGAATCTTTTTTGTTTGTTTTTGCTTGTTTTGGAAATTACAGTTATTTTAAATAAAAATATGTAATTTGTGTTAACATGTAATGATGGGCTTATGGTCGTTATTTTTAAATGAACAAATATTTTACATGTTTATCCATCTTATTCCTAATACATTAAACATCGATACATACAACCCACACAAACAAGTTTTGGGGTCTGTCAAGAGTATAAAGGGGTCTTAAGACAGAAAATACGTGGTGGGATAATATATTTTAATATTAATGGAAAATTTTCTCCCAATATTCTACCCTGCTTTTCCTTGTACCCCCTTCTCCCCACCTCAATAGCTTCCCCCCCTTTACTTAAGCAGTAATCACAATGATTCATTGCTTTAGGGCAGGGACATTACCAAGTGGAAAGCAGAAATAGTGTCTAGCTTTTGTATTTCCAAAAAGCCTAAGCCCATTAAGGAAGTTATGTTAGGTGCTTTAAAGCAGTAGTAATATCAAAATACAGTGAATGCCACTGAGAAAAAAACACTAGCAGTATTGAGAAAAGGGAGATTTCCCACGACTAGAAAAATATTTCTCACCTCTTGAGGATGGGTGTGGGAAAGAACAAAGACAGAAGAGAGATTAAAAGAACAGAGAAGTGGGGCACCCACTGGCTCCATCGGTAGATCATGAGGCTCTTGGCTCTTGATCTCTGGGGGCTGCAAGTTTGAGCCCCATGTTGGGTGTAGAGACTACTTTAAAAAAATCTTTCAAAAAGAAAAAGAAAAAAAGGAGAAAAGAGAGGACTGGGCCGAAGGGGCAGAAAGTCCAGACACTACTCAGCCACAGTGGAGCATCTTCTCTTGTGGGAGCTGGGAGCTGCCACTGCCTAAATCTGGTGTTTCTGGGAGCCAGCTTCGCCTCTCCATCCTCACGACTGTTTGTAGCAGTAACACTATCTGATTCATCCAACCAGGACAACTGCACTCTCAGAACATCCCTGGCCCATCAGAAACCCAAGAGGGGGAGACTGGGACCTTGGAACCCTGAAGGGGTGGTGGGAGTCAAGAGACAATAGCTCTACACCCTGAAATTGGAAGGTCTGACTGGAATCAGCTGCAGATCCACTCTGAGCTGGAAGAGCAGTTCAACACACTTTTTTTCCCCCGAATATTAGGAGCACCCAGCATAACGGTTGGGTAATAAGCAAACAAGGAACTGTGTTCCATTCTACCAGAATCTGTGAACGGGATTGCACTGCAACTGAGTTCAGCCCACACTTAAGTCTTCTTGGTCCAGTACAGGGGATTAGCTTTGTTGTTTTCGTTAGAAGGCTTTCGGAGTCCATGCATTATCCAGGACCTGCTGTCCTTTCTCCCCTTCAGTCTCTTCACTCATCAACATTCCCTCTTGACCCTGAGGACATCTGAGACTTCTGAACCCTGTAATAGAAAGCACTTGACCTATAGTAAGACTCCTCAAAATAAAACCCTGAAACTAGACAGATTTAGGAGTCTGTGCATTTTTCTGAGGAGAGGGTCCTAGCTTTCATCACATGCAAACTGTGCAAAGGAGTTTCTGGCATCTGGGTTGGAATCCTGGCAACTGTTCAATGGCTGTGTGACCTTGAACATGTCTCTTAACCTGTCAGGGTCTCCATTTCCTCATCCGTGAAATGTGGCTGTTAGTATTTAACTCTAAGGGCTGATGTAAGGAGTAAACGAATGGCAAAGTCGTTGTAAGTGTTGGTTGCTGTTGTTATAGAGGAGGTAGACCATGGGGGTTTGGGAGGGATGGAAAGCCTGGGGTAGAGAGGTGAGTGCAGGCACATTTGGTGACCCCAGCCCATCTTCAGGATGTAGCCTGCGCAGTCCTCAAGAGCTCACTAGTTCAGCAAAGGGTCCCACCACGTGGGAAATGAATAGCAAGGCTTCTCTGTATGTGGCCATAAAGGTTGCCAGCAGCTGGGATATATGTGCCTCTTGTTCTGAGGAGGACAAGCATCTGGAGGTGGCAGTCAGATAGGGCCCGGAGCCATGAACTTGGAGACCACAATTATGCCCTAGAGACCAGTGCTGCCTTAGTTCTGGTCTCCACACACGAACCAGGGAGCAGAAGGTACAGCAGGGTCAGATAGCAGAAACTGGAATCCAGCTTCATCCTTCCCAGCTGGGTTGTTTTTGAGCAACTTACTAAAACCCCCCTAAGCCATAGTTTCCTCTTTTGTAAAACTGAGTAAAAATATACCTACTTACCGCTTCTCGGCCTTTTGGCTAAGATCAAGTGTAAAAATACACCCACTTAAAAATAGTAAGTTAAATAATATAACATATGCAGATATAATATAACATGCAGCTAGTAAGTGCTCAATAAGCAGAGCCATTGCTATGCTAAGGTGTGCAGTACTAAGGGCTCATAGGGAGCTGAGTGGCAGCAGGGGTCTGGGTGTCTAGTTGGACAGGGAATCCTGGAAAAACAAATCAAAAGATCACTGCAGTGAAGATACAATTGGCCCGTTGCCCAATTTCTGCTTCAGCTTCCCTTCAAACTTGGAAATCAGATTTCTTAGCGTTCCTTTGGGCTTCTTAGGAAACATGAAAGGAGAAAATTAAGATCAGAATATTTTCTCAAAACCATTTCTTCCCCCGCAATATCCCCGTGGTGAATTTGTGATACTGCTTATCTTAACAGAAATCCATTCAAACTAGTTTAAAGATGCAGAGTTTTCCGACAGGCCTGGAAGACAGGAAGTACGCAAGGCCAAAGACTCTCATCTCTGCTTCCAAGGTCTGCCTACTTCTTTTTTCTCTCTCTGCAGATCTACTTTCTCTTCTTTTTGATGCATAACCCCAAATCGCCGGCCTAGCCCAGCTTGGCATCATTTTCTGGTTTAAATACAACAGACCAGGGGCGCCTGGGTGGCTCAATCGGTAAGGCATCTGCCTTCAGCTCAGGTCGTGATCAAGTCCCGCACTGCTGAGCAGTGGGAAGCCTGCTTCTCCCTCTCCCACTCCCCCTGCTTGTGTTCCCTCTCTCACTGTGTCTCTCTCTATCAAATAAATTTTAAAAAATCTTTAAAAAAAATAATTGTGGCCATCTCTGGGAATAAATAGAAGTATGGAAAGTTCTCACTTCCTGCTTTATCCATTTCTATATTGTTGAACTTTTTTAAAAAACAAGCATGGATTACTTTTATAATCAGATGAAAAAAGATATTCCATTTTGGGGAGGAAAAGAGAGTACAGAGTTTATATACAAAAGAGAAACACTTGATATTTTAAAAATAAACAAAGACTACAAAATTACATCTTCCCAGTGGCAAACAGGCATAGTAGGTAGACCACAAAGGCTGCACCTGCCCAGGGCTTGGGATTACTGGGTGAGAGCTTTCTACACAGAAAGGAGAAAAGTCTGCTTCTGTTAGTACCGCAGAGCACATTAGGGAGAGAACATATTTATATACTTACATACAAAGAGAGGAGGCAGTTAAATGATGAGAGCTGAGGTGTGCAGCCAAGTGAGGGGTTGGATACAGGAAAAATGAGAGGCCAGACTGGGAAAAGTAGAGGTGGCCTGGGTCAATTCCAGAGACACTTTTACCTACTGCCAATCATGGGTTTGTGTGGGTGCTTGGGGCTTTTTTAATAGGTTGGGAAATTGAAATTCTCACTGGGATTATTATTATTTTTAAAGTGTTTCTGTTTGGATCCTTCCTATCTTGTCAGGAATGTGCTAAATATTAAAAAGAGTTGTAATTTCTTTCAAAACTGCAGGGGAATTCAATGAGGGAAAAAATAACCTTATTGTGTAGGCAACTTTATAAGAAAGCCTCAATTTCACATATTGTGAGATAGTTGCATTAATTTGGCATAGAGAGCAGTTTCCATTAATATAGTCTTGTCTTCATTTGCAGTAGGCAGT